TGCTGTCATGTTAAACTTATATTAAAGTTTTTCTTCATTACCCATTTAAGCCGTCTCCAGCCATTATATTTAAAGGAAGCTCTACAGTTGTCAATGTAACTTGAATTAATTAACTTTCCACATAAACAACTAAAGACAACATTTAGAAGCTATGGGATCATCAGATCAAGTGGTACTGAACCATCAAATCTTCTGGTGACGATAGTTTAGAATGACTGAAAGGATTATTTACAAAACTAGTTATACAGATTGTAGGAAATAGACCACATTATAATAAAAGTTTTAAGTGTAACTTGTAGAACATACTGTCAGGAACTGCAAATATAAAACTGTAGGGAATAACCCTTCCCAAATGATGTCAGAAAAGGAGAACCATTATAAATAAAAAACATAACCATTGTACTCGAGACTGTGAGAAATCAATATCTCATAAGGATAACAGCCCTACTTCAACAAGATCAAAGGAACAACAAAGAGCTAACTAGACATTGGAAAACAGGAATTAACTGTATTTAAGAGATGAATCTCAGCTCAGAATACTCCTTCTACCTCAAATTAGATAAAACGTTCATTAGTTAAAGAAACCAGTCCACGAGTCAACAGGGTTTTAATGGGAAGTCTTGCTTACTTGTTATGGTAGATGGCTTGAGGTTGAAACTGTGTTCACCACTGTGTATACTGCTTATTTGTTGAGTGTGAGCTTGGAACTGTGTTCACCACTTTGAACTCTAGTTACTTGTTATGTTAGGTGGCTTAAGATTGAAACTGTGTTCTACATTTTTTACATAGATTATCTGTTATGGAACGAGGCCTGACGTTGGAACTGCTTTTTTTCACTTTATATACTGCATATTTGTTATGATAGGTGGCTTGATACTGGAATTATATTTTCCACTATGTGTACTGCTTACTTGAAGATAAAACTATGTTCTTCAATTTGTACTCTGCTTTTGCTTGAGATTGGATCTTTATTCTCCACTGTGTATACTGCTTACTTCTTATGGTAAGTGGCTTGAGGATGGAACTGTGTTCTCCACCTTTTATGTTGCTTTCTTGTTGTGGTAGATGGCTTGAGGGTAGAATTGTCTTTTCAACTGTGTGTAATGCTTGTTTTTTTACAAAAAAGTGTCCCAGGGCTCAATAAATACTTCATGTTGAGAATACTGCATCTTTCATTGATAAATGTTCCAAGGTGTATGCTTTATAGTTTTTAATAAATAATTATGGTATAAATCCTCCTTATAATAGGGTTATATCTTCAACTAAAATTATTGCATTTTTATTATAACAAGTTATCTTAAAGCAGAAGATGTTATCTTGGTTTCAGTGGAATGAGATACAATTTTATCATCTCATAAGTTAACTTTTTTTTTTATAAATGGTAATTGTTTTTGTTATATATGATTGTTTAATTTTTCTTTTAGTTTCTTCATTATGTAATACCTGTACATGCTTATTATTAATAAGGGTGCATGATTTGTTATGATGATGACAGTGATTTTAGTGGTATTCAAACAGTTGGTTATCTTAAAAGAACTAACCAGTTATGCCAACATAAGACAGTTCTAATCTAACTGAAGTATCATTTTTGCCATATAATGCCACAATCTATATCTGTTAAGCAGCACCAGATAACTCATGATGATTTTTGCATTACTTATAATATTAAATACACTAAAAAAACTAGCAGTTATAAAATGTATAATTTAATTTCTTGCACTTCTTTACATTTATCAGTGTTTTAAACTAGCTTCAGAATATTATATTTTCAATGTCCTGTTTTATGGTGAATTGTAACAAGTTTAGTTCTATATAAATTCACATTAATAACTTATATAAATTATTGAATAATTCTTAGTTCTTTTGTCAGAGATTGCTGTGGTGAGAAATATTTGCGAGTAATTTCATTAATTTCTTCTAATGCCACCTGGGCATGTAACTTCATAACTTCATCCTGATCCGTATTATAGATGTGTCTCAGGTGTCGGTAAAGATCTCTCAATTCAGACTCTAATATCTGTAAAAGTAAAAGACATTGATAGAGCCATCTATTGTTGATTATACTTTTAAATTGTTACTGATTGTTAAAAGCCATAATCTTATTTCACTGTTTATAAATATACTCTTCATTAATATAAAAATGACTTTATACTACAAATGAAGCTTTTATAAACTCTTTCATATGGGGTCAGTCAATGTGACCAACCTTGTAACCTCAAAATAACCATCAGAGTTTTCATACTGTAACTTTTAATATTTTTTTGTTTATTTTCATGAACTTTTGTAAACTTTCAGTGAACATTACAAATCTTTTGTACATGTAAAATTAGATTTTTTAATTAAGTATATTTACTAAAAATTTCTCCATGCACAGAGTTTATGCTAAAATTTCAACTTGTTTCAATAATTTAATAATTTCTCTTCGACATTTTGCATCACGATTTTTGTGGTTTATTAACATGTTTTTCTTGGCCTGTGAATCATTAGGAGTCTTTTGACATTCTAAAGGGGGATCAGGGAGGGTAAAGATCATGTTTACATATTATATTTAAAAAAGACACATTACTATGTTTGATTACAGGAAATTATTGTTGCATTTGAAAATGTTCATTAACTTACATGCTTAAATATGACAGTAACACTTTTATACATTGAAAGATCAGCTTCTGTAGATAAATCTATTTGAGCGCAAGGGTTTGTACAATTGAGCTTGGTTTGTGAAAGTTCCATAGATTGACCTATCTAAATGCGAGACTGTCTTTGGTTCATGAAAGGGTCCAAGAGGAAAAATCAGTTGAAAACCACTATTGTGAACCACATGTAATATTCATAAAACCTTTCATTTTCTTTCTTTTCAAAAGTACATAAGGCAAAGAGTATTTGATACATCTAGTTCAATACTATGGACTAAATCTTTACAAGGTATAACATATACAACAATAATGAAAAGCAGTCACAGTCTAACTTAACTTTGATGAAAAAATAATCAAAATTTATTAACTATATGATTTAACAAAAGGGATATGATTTCTTGTGGATTTTCAGTGTTAATATAATCGTTTCTAAAGAAATAAACAACATTAACCTAGAAGCTTTGGGAACATGCATCTTACTACATTAAGTGGCGAAACCTTTAGGTAAAGTGTCCTGAAATTAAACCTATGGATTACATATTGGTTACTTTGGTAATTTTTCTGCTGGTTTATACAGTCTATTCATTATATACAAATATTTCATTCCTCATAAAATACATACATGTTGTAATAGCAACACCCTAATCTTTGACAGACTGAAGTTCTCTGAGGAGGTCATGCTCTAAACATGCAACACAGTAACCACAAGAATGACTCAAAACACCATCACAAACTCTAACTCAGTCTATAGAACATTCAAAACCAGTAAAGAACATAATTTATTTCAGATTTCAATCTTTACTAAAATTTGCCTTATTAAAAAAGGCATCTCTAAAAAATAAATGTAGCTTACTTCAAACAACTCTTTCCGAAGTCCTTGCAAAAGGAGAGATATCACTAGCACAGCTGCTCGTCTGGCTTCTATTGACTTGTCTGTTTGTATCACACTTCTCAGGCAGAGAAATATCTAAGTTTGTAACCATAAATGAGAATCACACAATGTGTACTTTCACATACACCTAATGACATTTCCTATGCTCAGATCTGTAAAATTTTTAACAATACATATCAACATTCACAAACTGTAAAATGTTACTGTGGGCTTTGTTAAGCTCCTGACTACCTTTTGGCTATGATTTTACAATTACTTAATTCTAACCACATTTTATACAGTAGCAATGTCAATGACTTTATTCTTATTAAACATCAGTTTGAGAAAATAAACAGGTCAGTATGTTATTTTATGACAAAATTCATCTTATCTACCAACAGCAGAGAAACTAGGAATCATTAAGTATTAAAATTTAGCTGTATCCCTAATTTGTTATCCAAATGAACTCACACAGAGAACTATATCACTGTCAGTCTCATATATAAACTGAAATACAAAGTAACAATCAAAAATGCCAAGTAGTGATCAGCAATTCATAAATTTTTAACAATAATATGTCACTTCACACCACAATGCCTACAGATCTCCCTATTAATTCAAAAATCTAAACAAATAATCATAATTTAAAATAGCTAACACCTCATTTATACAACTTTTAAACTCAGGAAACTTAAAAAAACCAGTGTATACAGTCATTTTTAAGAAACAGACAGACTAAAGAAATAGGCTGTAACATGAAAATATAAGATTTTACAGAATTTATCTCACATGCAAACTCCTTTCACAAAACACGCAAGTTTACCCGTGATTACTCACCTACCCAGATTAACTTTCTTGACGTCACTGTTTTTCTAAAAGACGGAATTTTACACACTGACTTGTACAAAAAACCTACAGATAGACCACAATATCTTCACTATAAAAGCTGTCACCCCTCTCACACTAAACGAAACATTACTTACGGTCAAGCTCTTAGGATAAAGAAAATATGCTCAGATGAAACAGACTACAGAAAACACACCAGGGATCTAAAAGAAACCATGTTACAAAGAGGATATAAAGATACTGAAATTGACAGACAAATTGAAAAGGTTAACAACACTCAGTGGAAAAACATCCTAAATCAGAGCAATACTAAACTTTAAAATGGACTTCCTCTTATTATTACCTATCAATTTAAACTCAGAAACAAAAGTGAATTACAATCCCCTGAAAAATGTTTGTCGTCCATGTAATAAAGCCCATTGTCAAACCACTGACTCATTTTCTGACAAGCACAATCAAAGAAACTTTAAAATATCCAAAGAAATGACTTGTGAAACAAAAAACACTATTTACCTTATACAATGTATAAAATGCAATCACCAATATGTAGGACACACACAAACAACTCTTAGAGAATGTTTCAACAATCATAAATCTTCTACTAACATGTAAAAAAGTTTCCCTGTTGCTCAACACTTTAATCAACCCGGCCATTCCATTAACGATGTTACTCTCATCAGCATTGAAACAGGATAGAAAAACTAAAGCAGGTAGAGAAATAAAAGAAGCTTATTGGATTGCTAATCTAAACACTGTTCAACTTTTTGGAATTAATCTAGACCCTGGAATCAGTGATCTCCATTCATTGGTTTCATCTCTGTCAGAAAAATAATTTTTATTCTTTGCTTATTTTTTTTATGTAATGTGAATGCCGAATTTCCTAAAACTTACTATTTAATTAAGATAGTTTTCTATACCTGTTTTTATAAATTGATTAGCATAACATATTTTCAATCAGTCTCCAGGTGTCACCTTTATTTTACTTAAACACTTAAGTATAGTTTCAAATATACATATATTTATCCATTTCTAAGTAAAATATCCCTAACACGTTTTCACATACACTCTCACTATCAGCTACATTGTACTGGAAACGAGATATTTACAACAGTACATAAAGAAATAGACTAAACATTTCTTGAAAAACCGGATGACCTTCATGACATCACTAAACTCCCTTTATATATATATCACTCATTCAATTACACCACCATTCCCAGTTTGCCCCTGAAGAAGAAAGGTCCACCATTCGAAAGCGCTCGGGTTATAGGTTTTTTTATTAATTTCTAAGCTTTTACAGGTTCACTGGTTAGAAAAATATAGGTTTTCTGCCTAATTTCTTTGACAAAAACCACTTTTCCAGCTTGAACCACTCATAAAATCACAATATTATTGAGATTAAAAATGGCTTACTTATATTTTCTCAAAGAATACTTACCAATTTATAAGCCTTTTGTTATAGGTTCTGTCTACTGTTACAGAGAAGAACTTTATCCTTTTCTCCAAAGATATATTTTTAAATTAATGAAAACATAAAAATACATTGTTCAGTTGTTTGAAAAAATATATAGGTTTTTATATATAAGTTTCACAACAAATAAAACCATTTTTAAAATATGGGTTTTAAGTTCACTGGCAGGCCTAAAAATAAAAATTTAATATCAACAAAATTTAGCTAAAGCCTCATAAACTATTCTTGATAAATAGGAAAACAGTAATTAAAGTAATGGGTTTTTTACTTTTAATCACAATTCCTGCTGAAAAATCATTCAAAATGAAAAACGTTTTAAACTAAATCTATGGTGGATAACAAAACATGCACGAGAGCAATTTTCCTATTTGCTATTTTAAAGACCCCGTTTCTCTTATTTGGTAAGAAATCATACTGATAGGAACTGCTATACTTAAAAAAACTAATGGTCATCAGGGTTGGTGATAGCTCAACTGGCACCATGGGCAAAAATTAACAATGCATTCCTACTTACACTGGAGACCCCAAAAATATGTCACCTTAGGCAGTCACCTATGTTGCCTATCCTCAACACTGGGCCTAATAGTCATACAGATATTTTTAATAAATACTAATAAAACTTTCCAGGCACAGAAATATTTATGTTTGCAACAAACAGTATCAAATCAACTAATTATTGAAGTTTATGTTCTGTTCTTTACTATATTTCATTTGACAATGTAGTGGTAGCAAGCCCAAGTCTCTTTAAAACAGTCAAGATTAAAAAGAGCTTTTCAACTTCAGAAACAAACAACATCTACTGAATACCTCACTACTGATATCTACAAGTTTACATGCCTGAGGTTCAACCAGGGATATATAAGATCAACTATTTGAAGGTTCTGCAATACTAGTATTATTACCAACCACTGTCTTAAAGTAATATGATGTTGTTTCTACCTCCAGTTTTCTACACATCATTCTCCATTCCTAGGAAATATTCCACCCAAGAATACTAGAATCTTAACAAAAACACCTCAGGTGTAAATCAAGGTGTGGCCAAAAAATAAGTCAGCATGCAACTAAAAGAATGAAATCAAAATTGGTGGCCAAACTGGTATCTACTCTCAAAGCATTGATAATAATTTTAAAGCAAATATTCATTCATTAACTATATCAGGCCGAATTTTTTGTTCAACTTTGGGTATGATGGTGGGTAAAATGAAATACGTGGCCTAGTTAACTAATGAATGAACATTTGCCGTAAAATTCTTATCAATGTTGTAAGTGTAGCTACAAGTTTGGCTGCCAATTTGTATTTAATTCCTTTAAGTTGCACGCTGAATCCTATTTTGGCCACACCTTTTTTTTCACACCTATGGTGTTTTTGATTAGATATAATGACATTTGTCAAAACACACCAACAAACCACAGCAAGTAAGAAAGTGACACCCGAAAGTAACCAACATTAGCTTTAGATTCACAACCCTATTATTTGGAACAGACCTCTACTTTACAGAACGAACCAGATTCTTTATAATATATGGTGATAGATTTTCCTCTGTAAAATAGTGTTAATAGCTTCCTTTATACTAATGCCATGGAATTTAACCCCTTTTTGACGGGTCACGGGTGAAAGGCCATGTGTTCTTGTTTGTTGACTCGCATTTGAAATTTTATTGGACTACTATTTCATGTATTTATGTCGATAAGTTTGGTGTCTAATTGTAGATTATAATTCAAATTTTAAAGCTATACATTACTTAATTTATTAATTTAAAAGTAAATATTAAAAAACATAGATAAACATCGATTTTTGTGTGTCACGTGGCAAGTTGAATGCAGCACTGGTTCAAATTAGATGTTTGTGAAATCAAAATACTAAGTCTATAGTTCCATACAAATTAGAAACTCAAATTACAGATATTGACAAGCTAGAATATAAAATAAGAAGGACTTATCTTTTCTATTTTGCTAAGATATTGTTCATGTAATAAATCAACCACAGTGGCACCCCGCTCACCTCTTTCCATTTTTGAAAATGCTACCTTATATACACTTACTTCTATATATGACATGAATAACCAATCGGAAGCTCAGAATGACCCCCTAGTGGTTTTCTAAGCCTTTCTAACATTCCTTCCACCATTTCTTTCTTTTGAACCAAGATTTCAATGAGGTAGGTTGTGTCTTTAGTCTGCTCCAAATTTCATTTTTTTTTAGACCCAAATACAGCTAAGTTACTAAGTTTGATAAATTACAGTAGAATTCTATGGTATTGATGTAAGAATTTATGATATTTTAGTTATTGAAAACTATATATAAAACTAAAAAAAATATTTTGTTTCATATCCTCCAAGTGCAAAATTTTTAAAGGCTT